CACGAGTGACGTCATTACCCGAATCCCCCCAGGCAATTGAGCACACCCTGTAATCCTTACACCATGGTCTGTCCGACGCCGACCCCCCCCCCTGCCCCCCCCCCCCCCCCCCCCCCCCCCCCCCCCTCACGATTCCGACGATCACGCAATGCATAAATTAAGATGCCTTTTCATGCGCGTGGTATGCTGCAGCAACAAATCAGTCACGTGACCAAAATTAATAATGAAAGATATCATTTTTTTATAATTTTTATAATAGTTATATTTCTTTTGGACCAATCAATCGGAGAGTTTTACAATAAATTGACCAATTGATGACGCAGGTGGTTGGGGAGATTGGATTAACCATTCGAAATTGAGGATATCAAATTGTAGACAAGAGGGGGTCGATTAAAAAGGTGAAAATTAGAAAAGTAAAGAAATTTACTAGATTTCGACCAATTAAATCGTAGATACTCTAGTGAATTTCCACACACTTATAATTTTCACCTCGTTTCAAGATACATAATCGATCCTTTACATCTCGATCAATCGAATAGCCCGAATCACAATTTCAGTCTCGATCGATTGATCGAGCTCAAATTCTGATCTTCTAGCGCGCGCGTGTATGTGTAAGGTAAATAAAGGTACCAATACCCGGACATGTATGTATACCTATATCCGGACACCTTTATTATTTATAAGAGTATAACGCGAATTAAAATCAAAGATAAAAGTATTTTTTCTTGTAGTTTGAAACTTCAGTTATAATATCCAAACGTTTATTTTCATAAATTTATATATTTTTTAAAGGTATCCAGACACAGATACGTGTCCAGGTATTGGTACATTTCCTATGCTTAAGTGTCCGGGTATTGGTACCTTTACCTTACACTCGATGTCGTAAATGCTTTTTTGCATCTGAAGATAGCCGAATCAAATAATAGCTATCTATTATTGGCATTTATGACGCTGTGTGTATACATACAACGTTAGATAAAAAAAGATGAGATTTAACATACTCACTGTCATCGCGGTGTAATAATTTAAGTCGCACACGACACATAATACAAGCAAATACACACGTGTGTAATATAAGCGATCTCTCGTAGAGTAGACTAAACGTGCTGATTAATTGTTTATCTCGATCGGCTTGGTCCACGGAAAGTCAGAATAACTGTAAACTCCGATTAATTTAATCGCCGCGGCGATTAACTTGCTGCAATTTAATGCTGTTAACATTTAATTAATAAAATTAATATTTTATTTATTTAGAAGTATAATTTATTTTATTACGTCGCACGCGACACACGCGCGTAATACAAGCAGACATAAAAGCGATCTCTTAGAGAACAATAAACATGCTGACTAATTGTTGATCCCGACTTAGCTCACGAGGAAAGTCAGAATTCCGCGAATTCCGATTAACTTGTCGTAAAATTAATACCATATTTATTTAATTTTATTATTATATCATACAATTTCGTTAACATTTTAAATATTGATACCGATAAAATTGTTAATTTTTTGTTGTTCAACATATAGGAAAAAAAGATTAAGTTGGAGAGACAACTATATTATATACATTGTATATACTTGGAATTATATATCTGTTAGAAATTTTTTTTTAAGCGATTAAAACTGATTAAGTTAATCATGACAGAACAAGGAATCATGATGAGCTGAAAATGACATTAAAGTGGCGTTAAAGTGACTTTTAAGTGATGAATAAAGTCATGATGACATATCATTATGAGTTTTAACTTCTATCTGGGATCGGAGTTTGGTCGAAGTCGATTATATAGCTTGATAACGTGTCCGTATTTTTCCGAATGACTTTTCTCGAGACTTACGATAAATACTTCATAATTAAATTCATCATGTCTTCGCATAATAAAATAAAAAATTATGAAGTATTCTCCTACTCTTTTGAAATAATATTCCCCTGCGAGTATTTCTCGGAATAAACGTCGCGATTATTCTTATCAACGACAAATAATTTCCAAGTTTCGTTAAAAAAAACAAATAATGATAATTCACCACCTGGATAATTAAATTTTAATTGTATCATTCGCGTCGTCAATTTTGTCGAATTATGATTTCAAGCAGAAGAAGAAGAAAAGAAGTCAAAAGATGTTAAAATAGCTTCACCCCTTAATGCTGTTTTAACACTATTTTTACGTTATCATGATTTTATTTTTCTGTGTATATAGGATCAGTTTAATATATCTTGAAATACCTTATTTAATATATACATTTTAGTTTGAGTAGAATTTCCAAAATCGCTATTTCTTTTAAATATTCGATGGGAAAAATCGAAGGCACATTTATCAAAGCGTTAACATTCGACAGTGCTTCAGTTATCGCAAAAATAGCTGCAATTTCTTCTTTTCTTTCGCTACTTCCTATAACAAAGTTCCATAATTCCTTTTACATTACAGTCCAGTTTCAGCTAATTGTACAACTGAGTGAGAGAAGCATGTAGGATCGATTATCTTACGGATTAATTGACGCATTTATTCGCAATATAATCGGACAATTTAAGTTTAAACGACGAGGAAATAATAAATATTTAGAAGATTAGAGAATAAGCGAAAATTTCTCCACATTTATCAGAGAGCCAAAATCCACATGTTGATATATACATTCGTCAAGCGTAAAATGATCTTATCTAATCAATTAAGACTTTTCCGGGTACCGTAGACTTGCGAAGTCACGGCAACGAGACGTACTACTTGATGCGACGGAGGGAGATGAATCGCGAAGGTACCGCAATTCATCGTGACTCACGAACTTGCACGCGTACATGTACTCTTCTCGCGCTGGAGCGTCCGCCGCGCTTATAATTCCGCACGATCTAGACGGCGACGGTTAGTTGAATTACCTCCAGTATACCGTCGCTAGTACAAGCTCGCACTTACAGGCTGACGCGAGCTGATGGACGACGCAGTATATGGCGGATGCAATTAAATCGCAATTATACCGCCATCCGCGTTCAGGTATGTCACGTCCGTCGCTTGTACCAACATCAAATTAAAAAAAAAGAAGAAACAAATTCTGTAATTTCATCCTCGAATATGTGTTGAAAGAAATTACTTGGTCGCACTCCCGTTCATCATCATTATCGTTATCAGTGAAGAAACCGCCCACCGGAGTCACTACGAAGCGGAAAAGAATCGATCTCGCGATACTTTCGGCGCAATATTTTCTCCTTACCGAAACATCGCGATGGATAAAACGATATCGATATCGACCGTAATGATAAACATATCATTTACTTTATCTCTGAAGTGTTACATCGCGGTGCGTTGCAGGTCGGACATTATCAGCGAGCCTCTCAATTCCTGAACAATATGATTACTTTACATCGAGTGTGCACGTTATATGTGTGTTACATGTGTGTGCATTCAGTCATTCGTTCCCGCATTGAATAATCGTCATCAAAATAACATTGACGGGTCTGTGACCGCTATACTCTCCTACTTTATCCCCACTGCGCAGCTCGATGCACGGCTCGAGGTCGAGAACGGACTTGGATTTAAAGGCGAAAGAACGATCTCTCGTTGCACGCTTCTCTCGTTTCCCTTCTACTTTAGTATCGCGGGAGATGTTAAGATCGCGTATCTGATGTTGGCGCTAAACTTTCTTGCGAATGCAACTTTCTTCCTCAATTTAAGTGACAATCGATAAAGTGAAAGATAAACAATCGTCGAAATTTATCGAGAAATTTCATTTGTTTAGTCGGAGTTAAATTCTACGCCTTTAGATTTCAAAAAGATTTGAATGATATCAAAACGTAATACTTACATGTATATTCAAATGTGCTATATTGAGATAATTACCCACACTTTTTTCTTCTTTCAGTAATTTTTCAATTCTGATGACGCAATGTGGTTGCGCATTTGTACAAATATTAATTCGTTCTAGTTTTTCCCCGCGGACAAACTTAGATTACCTGTCGCACTATAGCATCAAGATATGATGAAAGATGAGACTCATGTAATAACTTCTTAATATAACATTTAAGTGTAAATCAGTTATTAAATCGTCGATTGCAAAATATCGGAAATGAGATACTTGATACTAACATATACAATACGAAGAAAATAATATCTGTGATATACCAGAATACGATACGTTATCAAATTGATATGTCAACATAACAGTTAATGTATCAACAAAGTTGAATAATTGTCCATATCAATATAACTAATAATGCACATGAATGTTTTAAATGGTTTATAACTAAAGGAACGTTTCTTCGATGCTATCATCTCCAGAAGACATGCTAAATTAAATGCATTTTACTTAAATCAATATTTATTTAGGAATAATATTTATCAAATCTAATATAAACTCACGTTTTGTTTAAAATGCATTTTGATTAAATTTCATCCAAATTTATAATTTTAAGTTAAAATTTTTAACACGATAAAAGTTTATATAACTAAACAATCTTTTTCCTTTTCTTTCAGTAAAGAATATTCGTAATAACTAATCGACGATCGCTGGACAATGGGACCCTTCGAAATCCTGTGCGGCCTCGCCGCCATAATTCTCACTCTTTATTATTTCTTCACGTCGACTTTCGACTTTTGGAAATCACGCGGCGTTCGTGGTCCACGACCGATACCGGGGCTGGGTAATTTTAAAGACGTTATGCTTAATAAAACATCCGTGGGCGATTATTTGGCAGAAATGTATAACACCTATAAAGATGAACCAATGATTGGGATATTTGCTAGAAAAACACCAGTTCTTATTGTACAAGATCTGGATTTAATTAAGGATGTTCTTATCAAAGATTTCTCCGTATTTGCTAACAGAGGAATACCCACTTCCGAAAAGGTAAAAATATTTCAAGCTATTATATTTAAATACTTATATGGAGGGGTAAAAACCACAGTGGTGTAAGTCAAATTTTTAAAAATATTTCCTCGTGTGCATAGATGCAATCTGTACAATATATAAATTCGTATTTAAAAGAATATATAAATAAAACACACACGTCGCATCTGTTTTAAAAAAGTTCATAATATACTTGTATAAATTTCGTATAATAAGACTTATTAAAAAATGCGAGATGTACCTCCAAGAGCCTTATGCAAGTTTCTGTAAGTTAGTAGAATTTGATTTTAAGTTAAATTTACTTGATTACAATACTTTCTTTGTCATAGGCCGATCCGCTGTCGCAACATCTTTTCGCTTTGGAGCCGAAGAGGTGGCGACCGTTGAGAATGAATCTGTCACCTGTTTTTACATCCGGTAAACTAAAAGAGATGTTCTCTTTAATATCAGAATGTGCTGATAACCTTGTTCAATACATGGAAAAAGTAGTGAGCGAAAATAAACCTGTCGAATGCCGCGAGTTGACGGCCAAATATACGACCGACGTTATCGGCAGCTGTGCCTTCGGTATCGAGATGAACGCTCTGTCGGACGAAGACAGTGAATTTCGCACGATGGGAAGAAAAGTATTCAATCCGACTTGGATAAATATATTACGAATGAGAATCAGACAAATGTTTCCGTGGCTTTACGAATTGTCCGCGTACGTCCTACCACAAACAGAAACCACCAAATTCTTCATACGCGTTATCGTGGACACCATGGAGTACAGAGAAACGAATAATATCACTAGAAATGATTTCATTGATATGTTGCGCGAATTAAAAAAACATCCAGATAAATTGGGCGACATCGGTATGCATGTTTATACATATATTACTTCTCTCTGTCATAAGACTATCTTTCACATATACAAATACCATACCAGTTTGAAAGCTATAGTTTAAAATAACTTCAATATAATTTTGTAAATAATAATTTATTATGTGTGTGAATTGTTAAGTAATTATCTAATCTAATAAAGAATTAAATAGTAATAAATTAATCTCAGACAACATTAAATTCATATATTATTGATATATTAATAAAAAACATGATATTTTAGGTATGTCAGATAGTTTATTAGCTTCTCAAGCGTTCGTATTTTTCCTTGCTGGCTTTGAGACTTCGTCGACGACTATTAGCAACGCGCTCTACGAGTTAGCATTAAATCAGAAAATACAAGATAATCTGCGTAAAGAAATAGATGAGGTCCATGCGAAACATGGTAGAGACTTAACGTACGATAATATTAAAAAAATGGATTACTTAGATAAAGTTTTCAAAGGTAAGTCGTTTGAAGAATAATATATGCTATATTATTTGTTTTTTTTTTCAGCGATATTGTAACATGATATCATTGCTTAGTAAATATTGATCTAATTGTAGTTTTTCAATATTTCCATAATTTAACACTATTTTTAATGCATTTAGAAACATTACGAAAATATCCGCCGGGGACAATGCTTATGAGAGAATCTACGTCGAGTTATACTTTCGATGGTACTAAAGTTAGTATACCGAAAGGTCAAAAGGTATGGATTCCCGTTTACGCGATTCATCGAGATCCGGATATTTATCCAAAGCCAGATGTCTTCGATCCAGAAAGATTTAATGAGGAAGCTGTGCGAAGCAGACATCCGATGGCTTATATACCTTTCGGCGACGGGCCAAGGAATTGCATTGGTATAGTGAAATAATTTGAAATATCCCTTTTCATTTCCTTCCACGTCAAAAAAAATTTTTAATCAAAAAATATTTTTAATTTGTTACATATTTTTCAAATGAAAGTACTTTTGACTGAGAACTTTAATCAAATTTACATCATGATCGTTCTTTTATTTTCAGGAGCGCGTTTCGCTGTTTATCAGAGTAAAGTTGGGCTCGTAAAGATACTACGAAACTACAAAGTAGAAACTTGCGAGAAAACTCCAATACCCTACGTAAACGATCCTAAAGCATTCATATTAGCGCCAAAAGGCGGACTACACTTGAAAATAACTAAAATTAATCGACCTTAATTTTTTCAAGTTTTTCTCCAACTCTTCACAGAAGCGTAATAAAAAGCGTGAAAAAATCTGTCAATTAGAATGATAAGAGTCATTCTGTAATATATAGTAATTAATTTTTTTAATGTTGTGCATTTATATCTTATGTAAAATAGTTAATAATTAAGGGCGGCAGTATGGTCTAGTGGTAGAGCGCCAGACTCGTAATCTGAGGAACCAGGAATGTATACGTTTCGACTATGTATACTCACTTTGTCTTCTTCAGAGCATAATAAAAAAAAAATGCATTTAAAAATAATAAATTTATTACATATGTATTGTTAATTTATTAATTTTTTAAATAGAAAGTTAAGTTATTTATAGTTTTGAAGAAATGACGTTTCAGATTAAATTCGACAGATATAGTTTAATAACTTCACAAGCATATAGATATATTATTGTTGGCTTTGAAACTTCGTCGTCGATATTGGCAATGCTTCGAGAGTTTTTTGTTACCGCAAAATTAATATCCGCGGCGATTTCTTATTCTCTCTCGCTTCTTGAACAAGGTCCTGTAATTCCTTTATATTTCGCTCAATTAATTGCGGCTAATTGTACAGCCGAAAGGAGGATAGAGTAGATCATCATAAAGGAAAATGTTTTTACTATATATTTAACTTAATCGATGCATTTATTCGCAATATGATTAAACAAAC